ACACACACACGCATACGCACACGTTTGAAACACACACGTATACACGCAACACACGTACAACGTTCTGTTATTTTTTCGTTTGTTTGTTTATGTTTCTCTGTCTATGCGTAAAACGAGACGACCGGGATCGGTCCAGGCTCGCTGTCCTCTAACTCCTCTGAACTCTTGCAGCTTAAAGCAGTATTGGTGTTGCTTGGCCTTCGTAACTGCTGGTGTTGGATGATTGCTGTGTAACGTCTAAAAAACCTTTCTTAGCCGCCAATGTAATGTCGGCTGCCGACCAATTCTCCGAGAGAGAGATAGACACAGGTCTCGTCTCTATGCCGACGAGTATTTAAACGGACAAAAAAACAGAAACAAAACAAAAAATATACCACTAATAATAGACAACGTACGTCGACTAAAGTAAAATTGGATTACTAAGGGACAATTCACACGAGAACACGTGATCTCCGACTAAAATCCGGAAAAATAGAACCCACACTGTTTGAACCGAAAAAACCTACGGGGGCTGCGTCAGATCGCCCCGTAGAGCTGTGAACAATTCAACAAATCTCTGACGGCAAAACAATGCCTGCGCTCGCCATCTGATTTGCCTGTTCGAAGACGTGTTGAAAAAATATTCGTGTCGTGTAGAAACAAAACAAAACAAAAAAAAAAAAACTCCATAGCAGCGCACATAGAAAACGAAATCGATCCGCAAACATTTTTGGTGTCACACCGTTTCCATTAAACAAAACGATTACCTATAAACGTTCACGGCTTAAAAAAAAAAAAAACAAACAAAAGCGAAACAAAAACCTCGATGTTGTGATCAATGTGATTTCGACGGTCCTGTAACACGTTTTTCGAGTTTGGCTAGGGTGGTGATTCCTTTTTATAGGGGAAGAAGACGCGAGGGTGCTGACATTGGCTGAGCAAATTATAGCTGCGCTACCGGAAAGGATCAAGAGAGCGGAAGGTGATTCTCCGTCTTCTTCCTCGCCACCTCCCCCGGCACCGCCCTTGTCATCTCTAGAGGATGCTTTAATGGAACAAATGGTAAGCGGTCCAATCGATTTTCCTTCCAAAAGTATGTACAGGGTGTTTCACTTCTAACGAACGTCTAAATTATCTTCGTTGACATTGAAAATGTCAGGAGTCCCCCTGAAGTCATATTGGTCGCTGAAATCACTTTCAAAGTGACCCTGTGCTGACTTTCTTTCAATTGTCGCTAGATATCTTACCATGGAGACACCCTGTATACAGAGCACCGTTTAAGCCAGATTTCCAAACTTTTATCGCACTCCTGACACCGTCAGATGTATATCGCGTGGTGATGGTGTAATTCTTCTAGCCACTCGATTCCGGAGAATTGTTCGACTCGTATCGCGAGTGCAGCGGAGGAGCGGCATCAGTCTCGGATGCTGACGCAGATGCTAGTCCGTCAAGTCCATCTAGCAGCTGCCTCACACCGGACTCGCCATCTCCGCCGCCCACGACCGCCGACTTCTGCGAATTTTTGCAACTGCAGTTGCAGCTAGACGGCAGTAACGGTCACAACGGTCAATACTACTCGACCAGCGCCGGTGACCGGAAGTTCGGTAACGTGATGGGATCGGGATTGTGCGGAAGTGTGACAGGCGGTGGTAACGGAAACGGTGACGGAAACGAAGCGGATCTAAGCAGGCTGACGCTGTCCGATCGTGAGCAAAGAGAGCTATATCATGCCGCTAGAATGATCCAGAAAGCCTACAGAAATTACAAGGGACGTCAGAGGCAGGAGGAGGCCGAGAGACACGCTGCTGTACTCATCCAACAATATTATCGCCGACATAAACAGTACGCTTATTTTAGGTAATCTGTTTTGAGCTTAACAACCGTCGCTGGCCGTTCTTTTATTTATCCTTTCGGTTCCGTTTCGTCCGTCCCTTGCGGAATACCCTTATTCGAACACCGAGAGCCTCGCGAAATCGGTAACAACCGTTGACAACAATCATGTCTCTCTGCACGAAACCTCCGCTATTTCATTTTGTTCGGGGAATCGTTCAATTCTCCTTCCTTCCTCGGTACGTCGCGGAACGTTAGTTTTAATAAGCGGCAATTAATAAAAGGCTCGGGAGGGGGGCGGGCCAGGAGGTCGGTACCATTGTGCGAGGCCAATTTAACGATCCAGTTGAATCGGACGGATTTCACCGAAAAGTTCATTCTATCTAGCTATTCCCTACGGGGGGAGAGCCGAACTTTTAATTGGCATCGTAAATAATTCGAGAACTTGTAAGAACTTCCCCTTACCTTCGCCGTGGTGTTCCGAATACAAAATTAACCTGGCATTAAATTAATACGACTTCTGTTTGAGATGAAAGCTTTTTAGCTTACCTGCTTCTCTTTTTGCTCTTCTTTCTGTTATGTATATATGTGTGCGCGTGTGTGTATGTAATGCGTATACATGGCGCAACTCCAGAGCGTGTCTGTTTGGACGGTGCTTAATTTCACGGTGTTCCAATTCTTCTTTCTCTTCTCTCCGTCTCCACAGACAAGCTACGAAGGCTGCTCTGGTGATACAAAGTAACTACAGGAATTATCGCTCGCGACCAGGCTCGGCTAGCTCGAGGCAACAGGCGGTCCATCAGCAGGCAGCCCATCAGGCCGCGAGAAAGATACAGCAGTTCATGCGTCAGTCGAAGATCAAGTTAGTATCCACATGGTGCACATAATTGCATTTCCTGTTGCAACGATGTGCACGCATTATTAGTTTTATGTAGAACTTCTTGTTAGCACACGAAAGGCTTATCGTACAAAAAGACATCTAAAAAAGTTCTAAAGTCTCCCTCTTCTCTGTGTGTACTAATGCAGCTTGTCGTGGGACGATTCACGACCGGTAAGTAACGAATAACAAGTAGGGCGATTGTCGCGCGGCAATACACTGCTCGTATTTATCGCTCTCGTATGTTCTAAAAAAAAAAAAAAAAAAAAAAAGAACGAAAAAAAATACAGAACAAAAAGAAAAGAAAAAAGAAGGAGATACCTTCCGCTCTTTCGCTTTCACCAGAACGATCAGTGCACCCTGTTTCACGACACCGTCTTTGTATACCGATTGTTCGATTGTTTTCCGAAACGAGTCGTCGTCTATTGAATTTAGCTTCTGTGTTACATATATACTTTACGGAATGTTAAACGGTGCTTTGTGTTTTTCTGTTTTATATGTCTTTATAACCGTGTTCTATAAAAAAAAGAAGAAAAAAGAAGGAGTCCTCAATTGCGGAGCTTCTCATAGCGACGAGAAGATTGTACCATTTCGTAACTTCAATTATCACTTTGCTCTCTTTCTCGTCGTAGGAATATAGAGAGCTGAGAATCGAATCGAAGTACTTCCTATCGAGTGAAATACATAGAAACTTACCCTTAGTATGAAATATCAAACGATAGAGAAAGCACTTCGATTCGGAGGCAAAATGTTAATTGCAGTTCCATCGTGTTTAGATGCGCTCGTTTGTCTCGTAGTTGACGTGTTCCTCAGAGTGCTTGATCATTCAGTGTCATGTATGCACATTCGCAAGTAGATTTAGCGACGTAAACAGGGATCCTACATGAACTGTGTGCATTTTCTGAAATTAGGCTGCAGAACGCCAGGGCCGCCGCAAACGGGAACGGGAGGCCGCCAGCGGGCATTTTACGGGCGGTTGCTGTCCCCCAAAGCTCGCCCTCATCTAGCCCAGGGGCCAGCCTAGTAGCCGCCAACCAAGAGGTCGTTTGATTGACTGTCGATCGAACGGCACGCAGAATGGCGACGATACACCGGAAGTAAAGTAACAGAGCCTAGTCATCCGGAAGAAAAAAAAAAAAAAAAGGAAAAAAGTGAAAAAAGTATCGGACGATCGTCACGATGTATATACATATAGATATATACAAATGCTCTGCTACCTATGGAATTTTCATCGTAACACTTCACACACAAATACACACTATAAACGAGAGGATTCCCCAATCGGATGATATACCGACGATCCAACAACAAGAGACACGGACACGCTTTGCTCTCTACATCCATATAATTCTATTTAATCACGTACCTGTCTTTGATCTTGCTAAATCTATCCATCGTACGTATCTCTTTGTCCAACAGTTCAAGGCTCAACGAACGACTCCTGTTTATCCTTGATATCCTTCCGTTTGGTATCCACACTTGGATTATTTCGACACCGCTGCTGTGTTGTTTTACCAGAGAAATTTTACACCACGATTCTCCTGTGCATTTGTTTCCTCGGTCGATGTGACGCTAAAACAAAAAGTGGTATCCTGGAGGTAGGTGGGTCTCTACACACCCAAGTTTTCGTGTACCCGTGCAAAGCGATTCAAGCATAATAGATAATGCATCGATGTATTTAAGGATCGTGTTGATTCGAGGCATGTTCGTTGAAAATTGTCCTCGCTGATCGAGGTGTCAATTTCGATCGGATACTTTTTACGACTGAGAGTACAAAAGAGGCTATGTTTCTTTCGCTGAGACATTTTCTTTTTTTTCTCACCCAACGAATTACCCCTTTTTTCTCGTTCATTTGCCACACACACACGCATACACACACACGCGCGCGCGTAATAGATAGTGTTTTTACTCTCTTGCCTAATTTTGTCATTCTTGCAAAGTCTGCCACTTGTCGAACGAGCCGTTCTCGGGGTCCGTCATTCGTTTATTGTCCGTCTCTTTTCTTTCACACTTTTACGTATCTATTATTTACGTAAAGAAGTACAAGACTCGATTTTGTAGACAGCGACGAGGGAAGAACAGTATTGATAAGACTTACTTAGAGACGCCGTTGAAGAGGTTTTTCTTTTTGTACGTTTTACCTGTTCCTCGCATCTCTTAATTTATGTTTTTACTTGTTAATCTCGGAGTGGGACGAAGAACGCGTTAAGTATTTATATTTAATATATACACATATACGATGTACGTGTTATTTTAACGAGAACGAGAACGAAAGACGCTCCGATTATGCTTGCTGTTTCTTAAATCTTCAAGTATGTACACTTGAAACGTGACGTAGGAAGAAAAAGAAGAATGGAAAACGGTCGACACTTGACACTTGAGTTCTTTTTCTCATTTCTAGCTGTCGTATCGAACGCTTTTCCTTATTTATTTTTCGCTATATAAATATATGCGCATGTATATAATATACATGTACGATAAGCTTCGCGCGAGATAGAACTGTGCTTTCGAATCTGAGAACGATTCGAGAAAAACCTAATTTCTCTTCTTCCCCCCCCCCCGCCCCTTCCTCTTTTCTTCGTTTTTATCTCATTGTACTTTACGATCGAGCATGTACGCGAATCGTTTCAATTTCCGTTGATGCGATTAAAATACGGTGCAATATCTGTTGTAAGTGAACGTTCAGGAGATATTGATACTGCATAATAATATTGGATTTAGGTATGGCAACAATGATCCCTTGCTTGCACGATTTACGATTTCTCTTCGTTGCTTACGAGAAACAAGAAGGAATGCTATTTACTATTCAGGTCGATGAATGATAAGGGGCGTCTTATTTTTTTCACGGTGAAAATCCAGTAAATTAATCTTCAAATTTGCTAGGAAGAGAGAGAGAGAGAGAGAGAGAGAGAGAGAGAGAGAGAGAGAGAGAGAGAGGGAGAGTGAGAGTGAGAGTGTGAACAAAATTGAGGGCTGCTAGAGAGAAAGGAAGAAGAGAGAGAGAGAGAGGAGAATGTGACACAAGAGTAGACGTAAAGAGAAAATAAGAAAACAGATACATAAGGAATAAGGAAACAAAAAAAAAAAAAGTAAATAAAACGTTAAAGAGAGCCCTTCCTCCCGATTTTCAAAACGGGTGTGGGCACTTCATCCACGGGCTGTGCTTAGTCACAGTATAATCAACTTCGTAGAGTTACATTCTAGGGTTAAGAATAGTCGATTACATTGTTACAAGAAGGAAAGATGAAAAAAAAACCCTACCTACCGTTTCTCTCTCCAGTAGGGGATTTTTTTAAAGGTTCTTTAGATAAAAAGATGAAAAAACGGATACAAAGAAAAAAAAATGAAGTAAAATAGCGGTAAAATTAAGGCGTAGCGAAGTGGAGAAAGAGGGGCGCGGAATTAAATAAGATAAATGCGCACGGGGGCACAGCCGTGGTACCCGCGTTCAAATTTTTTCATTTAAGAAGACAAAAATCTATTGTGATAAATTAAATGGTGATCCAAGAAAGTATTTCCGCAGAAAATACTAAAGAATTAAAAAAACGAAAAAAAAAAGAAGGAGAGGAGGAAGAAGAGGAAGGAGAGATGATTACACGCGTTACACACAGACACGCGCGCGAGATAACACAGTAATAAGAAATAGAGAGAAAGAGAAAGGAGAAAATGCGGGAAAGGAAAATCGAACGTCTCGACGTCCACCTTGGGGACACGGAGACGTCGAGACGTGAGATGGAAAGGGAAAATAGAAAAAGGATAACGAACAGACAGACAGACAGACAAATCCAGTATGGTGAGTTGAGATGATTTATAAACGCCGTCAGATCTGTCGGGTGCATCTGTCGATAGGGAGAAGGACCGACTCGATCCCCTCGTCGTCGATGTGAAGAGGAAAGAAGGGAAAGGGAGAACAAAATATTGAGAAAAAGCGAAGATCCTGTGTTGATCCCTCCGGAGTTTAAACGAGGCAAGCCGCGAGGTAATTGTTGTAGCCGGGGTAAAATAAATTGTGCGGAGCGCGCGAATGGAAAAGAGTACGAGAGAGAGAGAGAGAGAGAGAGAGATGAAAGAAAAGAAGAAGGAAACGGTGAATTATGATTAAAACTGTACACACGAGTCAATTCCAACGAGCATTTTCATGCCACTAAGCTTAAAGAATTATTAGTTAATAATGAAAAGAAACAAAGAAAAAATAAAAAAAATGAAGCAAATGATGATGAGAGGGAAGGATGCGAATGGAAAGAAGAGGAAGAAAGAGAATAACAAATTCTTACACTCTTTTAATCATTGTTAATTAATTAATTAATCACGATCCTATCGATACTTAAAATGAGACGAGTAAAATAATAATTATTATTATATACACAAAACTATTATTATATTCATATTTTTGCTTATTACATATTTAAGAAACTATTAAACGAGGGCTAGCGAGTATAGTACATTACAAACAAACAAAACAAAGGACAAAAAAAAAACGATTAAAAAATTAAAAAAAAAAGCAGGGGGGAGTCGTGGCCGATATGATGACGAGAGAGAGAGAGAGAGAGAGCGAGGAGAGGGGAAGAAAGAAGTCTCACCTTTTTAGGAATATTTTTAGTCTGAACGGGCTTGTACAACTTCGTGCGTGGCAATCAACTTTCGAATTTTACGATTAATAAAATATCGACTTTTCGATGAAGCGGACGAAAATGAGGTAAAAAAAGAAAAACGACAAAAATGAACATAACGAGGGAGAGAGACAGAATTTTAGAGCTCCGTACACACGCCGAAATAAACGGGTTTGTTTCTTAACGTGAGTTTCCGAGACAGTGGCCCGATCTCTAAAGTAAAACGGCGGTTACGTCGCTTTTCCGTTGTATTTCGCGGACGAGACGAAAAAATTGATAGGAGAATGAAAGAAAGAAAAGGAAACAAAACAGAGGGAACGTATAAAATATTTGCACACACACACACACACGGTATTTTTCAGTCGCGAATAAAGGAACAGAGAAACGAAATTGGTTCCCAAGAGCGAGAGAGAAAAAAAGAAGGAAAAGTCGACGCCGCGGACAAAATATTTCAGAGTTCCCCATTATTACTTCTAGAGTCGCATTAAACGAATAAGAAAAAAAAAAAAACTAAATAAATTTACCCACGTACATCAAAAGAAAGCAAAAGAAAAAAAAAGATTAAAAATTATCGAGGTATGGAGAAACAGCGGGATTAAAGATACAAAAAAAAAAAAAATATACATGAGAAAATGCTAAAAAATAATATTAATTAAAAAGACATCGCTAGGGTAGGCGCTTCGAGGATACATAAACTTTAAAAGTCACTTAATACAAATTATTCTCAAAATATAAAAGTTTAATAAGTAAAGAAATTTTTAAATCTACGTAAGAAAGCCAAGAGTCAAAGACGACTAGATGATAGGAGCCGCATGGCCTAACTGCTGCCACTTTAATTAATTAAATAATTAATTATAACTTTATTACTACTTAATTAAACTCGATACAGATGAGAAAATAAGAAAAATATGTCATGCCACTTTTCAAACTAAACTTTCTAGATGCAGAGACGAATCAGTAGGTATAGAGGAACTATTAAAGAAAAATAAAAAGAATACAACTTCTCTTCTAATTGGGAATGATTGATTCGCGCTATAGATTCGAATATTTCCAATTGTCCAATCTCCAGAAAAATCGCACGAGATAATTATACGCGTGTAAGATGCCTCGTTATAAACCAGCACGACTGTTCGTCCGAGAGAAAGAGAGATAAAGAGAATGTCCGAGAAAAAAACAGAATCAAATTGGCATTTCAAATTCTATATCCAATAATTATCCGTCGGATGGAATTATTTTTCCATGCTCGTTGTTCTTCCAAGCAAGAACGAAACGAACTTCCTGTCGATATCGTAATGAATTATCAAAAAAAAAAAAAAACAAAAAAAGAAATGAGGAAAACCTAGGAAGTAACATTGCGAACGTAATAACTTCATGCATTAAGAAAAAAAAGAAGAAAAAAGAAAAGAAACCGTTCCGATAAGAGAAAAGAAAAAGAGAAAAAAAAAATAAGAGATATAATGTCCACACGTTTTTTACAAGAGAAACGACACACATTGTTCGATCCTGAGATGTCATGTTGGTGTATCACGGGACATCCCGTAGGACGTTTGTATCACGATGTCGAAAAGGTCGAAACGATCGGATATCGGTGCCTAGCTCATGTTCTACTCACTGTTCCTTGATTAAGACGGTCACTTTGTACCTGCTTGCTGCCTGCCTGGCCCGTGCGTTACCTAAACATATTTCTAGTCTTATCGAGGTGTCAACGCTCTTGTATTTTACTCTCGATGATAACGTCCAAGCATGTCGCGATACTTTCGTTGTGATAATCCGGCGGCACGCGGTCACCCCGCGGCCGTCATTGCGGTTTTTCTACACGATATCGAGGAAGCGGTAACGCCGATTAATTATTCCGTTGTAAATCCCATTCGATTATTCGCGAAGAGCGACTATCCCGGAAGGTTGATGGTTTCGACAGCTGTTTCGACATCTTACACATATACCAGCCGACGTAATTACGTTTGAAAATTCACGAAAGTCCCGAGAGATTCTCCTTTGGACGACGTTTTCTTTTCACTTTCTGTCATCTCGTTGAAAGATGGTACACGGAAACAATTGAATCGGATAATTGGTCGAACGAAGAAGAAGAGGAAAAAATAGAGAAATACTGTGTGTTTTCCAAAGGGTAGATTTTTTCTTGATCACGTGAATTTTTGAACGATGGCGGCAATAATTTAACAAAAACAGGTTCGTGCTACTTTTAGTGGAAACGAAATAATGGTAAAGGCTCCATCTCTTGTAATATTTTTATTATCGCAAACGTAATATTACATTATTAAATTATATTAAATAAAGAATTACGCCACTGTTTATTATTTATTGACTAACGTTCAACTAATATTGTAAATAATAACGAAAATATTTTATCTATATTTCCGATCCGGGGGTCGCTTGGGCGGGGCAGCGTATTACCTCTTGTCCGCCCTAAAAAAACGGCGATCCTTAATGATCGCCTGTTCGCCCGCCCCCTATTGTTACACCATTTCATCATTGCATTTAATAAATTATATATTTATTGACTCACTTACCTTTTGACTTACCCCCGCTTTATTATTTCTCTATTATAGCTCTTCTACAGGCGCACGTCCAAGTCACGCGTTTCAACCAATCGACCTAATTTCCAGGGGTGCTTTTTTCTTTATAGCAACCAGGTCAGCGAAATGGTTCGAGAGAGAGAGAGAGAGAGAAGGATAAGAGAAAGGTGAGACATGTTCCTATTTCCATTTTCTTCTTCTTCCTCCTCCTCCTCTTCTCTTTTCAGCAAATGAAACAACGACAAATGTGTCTCTTTTTTGTCCCTTTTATTACTTCCGCAACAATTTATTTAAAGCATACAAACGGTACAAACTGTATTGTTGTCACTTTGAGTATAAATTAAATTAATTTACGCGGATATGATGTGCGTACGAGGAAGATGGTAGAACGAGGAAGGGGGTGTAAGACAAGAGAGAAGACAAGATAAATGGTATACTTCTTTTTTTTTTTTTTTCTTTTTCCCCGTTTAAGCTAAAGTACCTTAACCGTCATCCAAGAGTCTCTTTTCCGGTTCCATTTAATGTCGATTCGTCCCTGTCAGACACACACACGATCATCGACCATGGTCTGTACCAAAGGGCTTCCCCGCGAGAAGATTAGCTCAACACAACACAGCTATATGTTAAATATCCTAACGAAGCAAGCGATTAAACGTGACATCTGATTCATCTCCAAACGAAACCTGATTAAGAAAAACACCATCGAAGCAATTTCACTCTGACGTCGATCGTTTTATTTTATTTATTTATTTTTTCTGAGGAAAACCCTCGGACCATCTCTACGTACCGACCATAATAATCATCGAGAAACGATCGTCGAACCCGTTTGACGAGAGAAAATGCTGTGTATCGATTTCTTGTGAGAGAGAAGGAAAGAAAAAAACGAAAGTTTCTCCTAGTTTTTGGATGAGATAATAACGAAAAGTGTCAGAGAGACGAAATGAGATCAGAACACTTGGACACGGTGGTTCTCGCGATCGCAGACGATGATGTTACCGGTGGACGTGACAGCAACACCCTCTAGGCCTTTGAATTCACCGTCACCGCTGCCCCAGCCACCGAACGATTTAAGGAACGCCCCCTCTGGGCTGAATATCTGTATCCTGTTGTTGCCGGAGTCAGCAACGATGATGTAGCCCTGATCGTCGACAGCGACGCCTCTTGGGAACTTGAACTGACCCTCGTCGGAGCCTTCAGATCCGAAGGAGGTCAGCACGCGGCCGTTCACGTCGAATATCTGGATACGATGATTGTTCCCACCGCTGACGATCACGCGGTTAGTGTTGCTCACCGCGATATAGTGAGGATGTTCCAATTGGCCACGTCCGCTCCCGCAGGAGCCGAATTTACCCACGAACGTGCCGTCCGATTGAAATACCTGCGAAAATAAACGCATTTGTAGCGATTTTTCCAGAGACTTCCAAACCTTGGCCCTGTTGAATTTTTCTTTTTTTTTCTTTACTAACGATCCTTTTATTTATGGGTGGGAAATTTTGTTATGAGTTTTTTATTGCGACACACATTGTGGTATCTTAGACACACATAATTAACCACCTCGTTTTTTTTTTCTTTTATAGCTGTTAAGTGATTTGGAAGCGAAAGGGTTAGAACAGATTGATGGACCCTGTGAAATTCGAATGATCATCTCTGTCGTCGCATCACTCACGCTTCGTCCATCGTAGAACGGCCTTGTCGCTCATGTAAGCATCTTTCCTCTTTCCACTAAACTCCTTTCTTTTTCCCTATAATCGTAGCCTTTTTCTCCCCGTTACGGACGTGTATCAGAAGGGGGGTATCGAACAGAAAATTACTCGAAATTAACTCTTTATTCGCAGAAAAGATTAAGAACTTCTTTTTATTCAGGATCAAAGTCTGTACACAGTCTAGGTACACATATATCAGAAGGGAGAGGATTAAACGAACACTGAAACTAACATTATCATAATCGTATCTATATCGTAATCGTGTAATATAATACAGTAGCTTCATTAAGGGGTGTACGCGTGGTGTCTAATTGACACCACTTTCGGTGTTTCTGATTCCGCGTAATCGTAAATTCCCGCGCACGGTTTATCAGAACAGAAAGAAACATAAATAGGAATATCGCGAGGACACGTACCTGTACGCGATGGTTCTCTTTATCGCACACATAAATAAATCCAAGAGCATCCGTGGTGATCCCCCAAGGATAATTAAATCGACCATCTGCCGACCCTTGGGAGCCAAAGGCTCTCAGGAAACGACCGGAAGGATCGAGAACCTGTATACGGTGGTTGTAACGATCCGCGATGATGTATTGCCCGATCCTGTTCACGGCCACCCCGGCGAGGCAGTCGAATTCACCCTCGCCGCTTCCGTACGTTCCGAACTCCTTCATGAAGTTCCCATTGCAGTCAAATACCTGCGAATTTCAACAGAATTTCACAACCAATCGAGTAACTCTCTTATTTTACATTCTATTCTTTTCGTACTTCAAGTTTCGTGCATTTCGATTTTTTTCTAACCCTTTGGGTACTGTACAATTTTTGCGAGTGAAAAATTCGATAGAAATACAGTGCTCCTTCAGATTTTTTTTTTTTTTTAATTTCGACGTTCATTTCGAAGCAATTTACACGTTTCGCATATATTTGCAATTTTCTTTATCATGGCGAGTAAGAGAGGAGAGAAAGAGCGAATGCAAACTCTCAGACGCGAGAAATACTCTCGAGAGTAACTCGCGATAGTTTTACTATCGCGCTAGCTTCATGTTTGGTTCGATTTGTGTACAACGACCCTGACTCGCGCGATGTTATGAGGATGACTCAGTCCTAAGGTTTCTTCCTAAGCTAGCTGCGCGTACATAGCGTACAGAAATCGGGCAGGACGGTATGTCCTCAGTCAGTGTTTACGTGGTTGTCGAACGAGTGCCTTGGCAAACGACGCTTATACCTCGCGATCGTAGTCTTGTGGAATATTCAGTGCTCCCTCGAACAACGCGGTTTCGATTATACGCGGATCTCGAATTAATTTAGATAATTAGCATATTCGTTAGTGTGAACTAATTACTGCTGCATACGAGAATTCAAGTACACAACGAACAGCCGAAATTGAAAGAAGAATCAGCGTGTGCCTGCGGGCTACGTTGATACAGTTTCACGGTAGATGTGTGCGTGAATAATTAATTAGATAATGTTTATGTCTGTGTTATACGTACACAACTGAATAATTGAGTTAATTGAAAAGGAGGAGAGCCTACGCGGTACTAATTAGAATAATTATTGCTATAATTTCGTTTTACTGTATTCTATGTTTATTTTTGCTGCGATAAGATGTGTTATAGTTATAGTTCTATAATTATAGAACGACGACAAATTTTTTACTAGCTTCTCCTCGAAACTTATGCATATTTTATCCTTTTTGGGGGAAATATTGTTTCTCAATGGGCCTTTAAACACGACATACTTCGTTTCTTATTATTTTAACCACAATATGTGGAAATTGAGAATAATGGGGTGGTTTTATAGTTACGATGCGCAGTGTATATACGTATAATTCTATGCACGTGCATAGGAAGAATATAAATGCACTTCCGGGAGCACTGTATCGCGTTGCTTATGATACAGAGATTGAAAAAAATGGGGTGGTTTTTACTTGAACACGATGGTTAGAGCTGTCAGCCACGACGATGGAGTTGTCAGGGCCAACAGCGAGGCCTCTCGGCCAGGTAAAGCATCCGGCTTCGCTCCCCCGCATCCCAAACTTGAACAGCTGCCGCCGCTTCAGCAAATAGTGACTCCTCCGGCCATTGCTGTCACAAATCGATCAAAAATTCGTCGTCAATTAGGTCACATTATCCTCTTGCTACGTTAATCCTCGTGAAAATCGCATATTTAGTTAGGAATTACTAATTGGTGGCACGTGAAAAATCTCTCGCGATTTTCTGGCGGTAGCGAACGTATCGATAGGATAAAACTTACCTAGTGGAGGAACCTGCTGCCGCGGGTATAACGGGAGCTGCTGTAGGGGACGTGGGGGAGCCTGACGGGTTTTTTTGATCGTCGTCAGAAGATTCGAAGGATGTTTGGCCGGCGTGCCTCAGAGGTAGCCCGAGCGATAACCTCCTCGAGGTAGTGCTTCCACTGTAAACCAAATTTCATCTTTCTTATTCCCAGGAAATCTCTTTTGAAGAGTGTATGCGTCAGAATAGTAGTCAGACTAGGGTGCGTTCTATCCAAGACACTGCACTATCTTAACCCTTTCGTGACCGAATTAGTTTTTGTATACTTTAGCAGCGAATACTAAACTGAGGTCAATTATTTTCCAGTATGCAAATGGTACTCATACGATCTACTCGTGAAAGTGTTAGAGTATCATACCTAAGTGAGACTTTTTGGTCATGAAAGTGTTCAAATATCATACCTAAGGTGACACTCTTTGGTCATTAAAATGTTAGAGTATCACACCTAAGTAATTCTCTTTGGTTATAAAAGTGTTAAAGAGTATGATACCTAAGTGACGCTCTTTGGTCATGAAAGTGTTAAAGTATCATGCCTAAGTGATACTCTTTTGGTACTCGTTAAAGTATCATACCTAAAGCTGTTTACGGGAAAAAAGAAATTAGTCTCACTACTTCTCCAACATGTTCCATATAATCGTCACATTTTACCCATCCCACCTCGATGATGGAATAGTCGAGGTAGTGGACGAAGGCTCCTTGTCCTTGGTCGTGCGATTTCCGTACTTGTTCTTCAGGTACCGTGCCCACGAGCTCAATGCTGCACCGTCCTTTTCAGCGCCCGGCCTGTCTCTTTCCGGGCTCGGTTCCCTCGACTTGAGAGCATGGGTACTCCGACTCCTAGCCAATTCGCTGCCCGCACCGTACTTGGCTGCCAAGTAGGCGTTCGGTGACTGTGTGGTCGGAGAGGGTGGCTCCTCGTCGAGGTCGAGGTCGTCACCGCCGAAATTGTGCGAGCTTCTGGACCGAGCCAGACGTTGTCTTCTTTCTTTGAGAGCGGCGTACCGTGACCTCGTTGACAGGGGCGACTCTACCTCGGTGTCCACGTCTCGATCCCGCTCTCTCTCCCTTTCCCTTTCTCTTTCTCGTTCGCGTTCTCGTTCTCGTTCTCGTTCTCTTTCTCGCTCCCGACTGGCCATCATCGCTGCCTGGCTCCTGCTCTTGTTTAGAAACCTGCAACATCAACCGAACGAAGGTCGGTTCGTTCAGACGTTCCTTGTTAATACGAAGAAACAAGCTGTTTTTTTTTTTTGGTTATTTTTTTTTATTTTCTTTCTGTGTTTTGTTTTTACTCTTTGGTGGATTAAAAATTCGGGGGGTGAAAAACATCCGTAGGCCATCGTATTGTTTTGGTACATGAGAGGGGTTATCGATCATTTGGAAGGATGGATTTTTTCCCGTGTCTCGTTGTTTTTTTTTTTTTTTTTTTTTTTTTGTTACAAGCGATCGATTCTTCGTGCGATGTCACGGACATTCGCATGGACATCGGACAAGTTTCTTTGGTTAACCGCAGAGGCGGAGAGCAGACCAAACTCGAAGCGTTTCTTTTTTTTTTTTTTGTATCGTTTCTTTCTTTTTTCAACTACGTCGGGCAATCTTGCGAGTTATTACGATTTAGTAACAGACGTTAGTGTGATTTATCAACGATGCATGTCCTGAAACGACATCTCGATGTGACAGTTTCTAACCGGTTTCGTTTTATCCTAACCGCTGATAACCGTACGTACGTTTTAGAATAGCTTTTTCCCCTATGGTATAAACCGTGACATATTTTTCCGTATCGTTGGATCGGTCCAAGTGTTAGTTACCGTTGTATCGTGGGATCCGTGGCAATTAGTCACAACTGCGGTGCAAATCTGATGTGTAATCAGCGGTCATGTATACGAGTAGTGAAAACGGATGCGTATCTACCACGTTGTATATCAATCTGTGTACGAGCTTGATATGTCAGTTCTTTATCACTGGCCCCATAAACTGTGCAAAGTCGAGAGAGAAACGGTTCCTTGGACCTTGTATCGTAATCAGCAATTTCGTCCCAACAGTATCTTTATTGCTTTTAATTACCAACCCTTCTGCTACACCCGCCCTTTCCTTCATCTTTTTTTCCCGCTAATCGATCTTTGTGTGTGTTCGCTATTGCGTTTCAACTCTCGAGTTGAGAAGCAAAAGGAAACAGAAAATAACTAATCCGGCGTGTTGTTCGAGCTGTAGAACGCGTAAAAGAGTGGACGTAGGAAAGAATTTCCAATCTGTTTTTAATCGAATTCCCGTTTGACGAGCGCAAAAGGCAGTTTTACCTTCGTTACTTATTATTTCTCGGAAGGCACCACTTGCCTTCCTACGTGTAACATTCGAACGTAAACGTTACCTTCTTTTTTTTTTTTTTTCAATATACGCGGTAAATATGCAACACGACCTATACGTACATTTTTCTGTTCTTTTTTTTTGGGTGGTTTCCTCTCGTAAACTTTGACCGATGCATCGAATTTCCAAAAGTACCCAGGTAGTTTTCCCAGACGGGGAACGAATTTCAGGTAACGCTGTTCGAAATGGCTACTCGCGACCGGGTGAATTTGCTTTCGAGATAAATTCGCGGCGATACTCGACGCGTGTGTGTTTAATGGACGTGCAACGGTATAAAACGTATTGGAATAACATCCGTGTTTCCAGTCAAGTAGACTACAGACCGATATAGCCCGGCTGACTATCTGAGCTGCAGCGGATATTTAAAGTAACAAACGGGTTATATTTAAACCTTTTACTGCATGCCACCGGGGCTTTCCATATCGTGCACAATGCGGTCACATTAGTTCCGTCTGTAATATTTCCCGTGTAATCTCGTGAAAATCGGCGTATTTCGCCTTGGCTGACAGAGTTCGCCTGATAGTATTAATTGATCGTTAAGTCCGTTAGAGAAGCTCGAGGGAGAGTGAGTTCAGAGAGAGAGAAAAAACGAATAGTGAAAATAGTCAAATCATATGTTAAAATCGTAAGAAGAGAAAACCTTGATTAATGTTTATATCTAGCAAGCGATTGTTCCCGTTTCGTTCGACAATTCATGGTTGGGTGTTTTGTATTTTCAAGCGATTCTTCCAATCTTCTCACCACATACTGTGCGTGTAGTTTGGATACCTTGATCATCTCGTGCCTTCGTCATCTCCTTGTCCTACTCTCTCTTGGATCGATCATTTGCTTTTTTTTTTTTTACCTTCTCCTTCTCGGTTATTATATTCTCGTGGAGAGTAGTAGCGCTGTAAATTCGTGGCGTGTAGCGTGCGTGCATCTTGAGGTGGTGCAACAGAGGTCTGAGTGGGATGTAGGGTTGCTTAAATCTAGAGAGAAAGCTGAGCGCCCTCGCCGTAGTTCTCGCTGCGGGTGGCAGATGCGTGTAACGAGCAACGAGGGTAACGAATTTTTCACGTGATCGATATCTTACGAAACGTTCAATCTGTTAGTGCAATAAATAAAGATGCATTCCGTTCTCCTTCGTTCTTTATACACAGAAAGTTACTCTACTTCGGTGAACAACAATTTTTTTAGGGGTTGTGGTTCAGTGGGGTGGGCAGTTACAACAAAGAGAGAGATACTTGGACGAGAGAAAACTGGGACGAAAAAGAGTATAATAAAGAAAAAAAGAAAAAAAAAAATTGAAAAAGTACGTTGAATCGTGGTTCTGCGAGACAACCAAGAGATTTCCAGGGGGGATACGAATACATTCCTCTGTCTGGTCGTTCTTTTGTTACGTATTGCTTATGTGAGAAAAACTGAGGACAAGTTGAGAGGGAAATAAATAATACGAGTTATCACAAAGAAATGCAGTTTATTTACCACACCAACAAACTGACGCAGGCCTATTCACTAGGAAAAAAGAGTACAAAAAAATTGTCGTGATATGCAAAACTTGTGTGCAGTGGAGCCGCGTGAACGACTTGTTTCATACTCACGAGACATGCCGTTTACGCGGCCGTGGTGCTCGAATGGGAACGATTCAAGAAGCGTTTAATTTCAGCGTATGGACTTAAGCTGCTTTGATAGGAGGACGGTATATATCTCAATTGATCTCTTACTACGCTTAATTTTTCCTTCTTTTCTTTTTTTTTTTTTTGCCAGCTATGCGTGTACGTATGTGAAATATATATTTACTTTCTCACTTTTTATTATCTTTTTCGTCACGTCTACGAAGCTACGGTATTTCATCGTTTTCTTTTATATTTTTTTCTGTCATCTTTGAGCAATGCAGGGATATGCGTAGGAACAAAAAGTTACAACTTACGATCGTACGTACGATTATCACAATGTATAAAATGCAAGTATTTCCACCATACAATAATCGCGATTCTAGCTCCGTTTATTCTCTGTTCTTTCGTTTCCTTCTCTTTGCCACTCGATGCTGATTATTAGAAAAGACGTTTAGAAGAACGGAAAAGATCCCGGGGCAGCAGCGGCGGCAGTTTCGCGACAAAATAAATAACGCTCCGTGATTCGGACATGTGTGGGCGAACCGAAACTTTCTCGAGAGGAGGAATTCCGTTCTCTCTCTCGATTCGATACTTCCGTTCCTCCGCGTGCCACGCTTTAAAACAAACGTTCCGCCGCGCGAGCCGGCGTTCTTTCGTGCACGATAAACTCGAAGAAAACACGAAGAATCGAATAGAGAAAAAAAAAAAGAAGAAGAGAAGAACGAGAACGAACGAACGGAGATAAAAATAAGGAAGGTGGGAAAAGAAGAAACTGCTGCATCGAGGATCTTGCTATCCAAGGCAGTCTCGTCTATAGCGTCCGTGATAGTAGTCTGGCAGTCTTTCACGCTTGACTAACACCGACGAACAACGAAGAAAGAGAAAGAGAAAGAAAAAACAAAATGAATTGAAACGAGAGAGGCGAGAGAACGTAAAATATATATATATATGCGTGTGTTATATATATCTATATAAAAGTGTGCGAGTGAAGGGTGGACGGGCAGAAGTGTGTAATAGAACTTTTAGGGGAGGGTTACAGGAACAGATTGATTAGAACGCTGTAACACAATACGGACACACAGAAAACGGTGGTTACCATTTGCATCGGTATAGTGATATCGACACCAGGCGTGTCCTCGTGCTCGTTGGAACTTTCGGTCTCTTTGGTTTGGGTAGCGTTCGCGACTAATGCACCGTTCTCGATATTAGTTCTCACTACGAGGTCGGTCGTTTGGGAACGAATCGTGCTCGTCTCGTCCATGCTTTCCCCCAAAAAAACGCGTTCTTCACTTTCTTTAGGATCACCCACCCGTTCTCGGGTGGCATCGGGATCCCGGTGCTCGTTGGATCCTCGTGGTGATTCATTTTCTCCTTCTCCTCGATACCGTTACTCTCGCCGTTGCTCCTCTTTCTCTCCAGAGACGTCGTCAGGTTCCTCGGCACACCTTCCACGCTCTTCTCGGCTACTTGTTGACTCGTAGAATTCTCTACCGGCGACGTGGCTCTGTCCGATTCGGTTTCGGACTCGTCAGACACCAGCCAACCGTTCTTCCCAATACTGTTTTGTCGGTACACTCTGCTTCTCGATAGACTCTCCGCTGACTCCGATACACTCAACGATTCGCCATTTTCTGTCGTCTGTTCGTCGTTGTTCGGTTGAATCGCCTCGATCGAATTGGTCTTCTCCTCGTTCGCAGATGACGACTGATCGTTGTTCTCTACGGTAGATGGAGAGTCATCCGGTTTGAAACTTCTGGAGATTCTCTGAGGATTCTCTGCCTGCAGATCCTGATCAGTAATCACCCATCCGTTGTCGTCGAACAATTCTTCGATACTTTTGTCCCCTAAGATCGAGGAGCTTCTTCGTTTCACGCTGCTGTCGTCGTATCGTTCCAGGTAATTATTATCGGAATGAGAGTTTGGCGCTACGCTTAGAACAGTGGTTTGATCGTCAGTCCCCGATGAATCGGTCGATTCGAGATCTTCGTTGGAATCGTCCTTACGTTCATCCATATCTTTCTCCATATTTTCAGTCTTTTTATTCTTTATGTTGCTATTCTCGTCCCTCGACACGTCGTCCTCTTCCTCGTCCGTCTCTGTGCCACTCTGTGTCTCGCTGTCGGATTCACTTTCCGTAGAAGTGTCTGTATTAACTTCCACGTTGTTCGAACGATCGTCGGCAAGGTCCTTTCTTCCGTCGTCGTCGTCGTCGTCGTCGTCGTCGTTGCCGTTGATAGTCGTCTCTTCCGAGTCTCGCGACGAATTTGTAATAGGAGGATTGGCTGGATCGATCGTTGTTTGCCGATCGTTGTTCCATCTAGAGAATAACGAAGAGTTCACGTCGTTCCCCGAACGACCTTCCACTAACGCGTCTTCGTAGACCTCGCTGCGGTTCTCTAATCGACTAGTATCGTAACCGCTACTACCTTCGAGACTTTCGAATCTAGCCGCGGAGGAGGAGGAGGAAGTAGATGAGGTGATCGTTTCGTCGGTGTCCGTACTATCGTCCGTGTGGGTCCGTTTGTTCGACAGCGGTTTAACCATCGCATCGTCAATATCGTACACCGCGTTCTTAGCCGCGTTATCGTAATCCTCGACATGATCGGTTGACCGTTCATCGTGTTCGTCACTAAACGTCCTAAAACGATTACGGTCGTGGGGGTTACTGGAATTAGAACTGGCCTGATGATGAGTCTGACCGTGATCTACATGTGCTACGAACCTGCTGGTGTAGCCGGCCGGCGATGTCAACGTCGCGGCGCCGCTCGGTGTCGTCGTCGTAGTCGTCGTTGTCGGGCTCGTCACCGAATGCGCGGGACTTCCTCTCGGCGACGAATACCTGAGACACGGATTGGATCTCTCGATATTTCTTCTTTTTTTTTAAATTTTCTCTTTGGGTCGTTTAGACGAGATTGAAATAAATCATCGACCGAACTCGCGAAACTCTAATTCGCTGGAATTTCGGACTTTCAGGTTCGCCGTGGTTAGCTACTCTTACGATATCGCGTTGAAAGATTACGGCTAATCAACGAAATTACAGGCAATTCAGGTCCACGCGGTCTCATCGATTTCCGTTCTCTCCTCCAAGTTGTTGCTCGTTAATTTATCAACTTGGAGACAGATTTCTCTGCTAATAGCCGCGTCGAAACGGTGGTCACGTGTGTTAGAGGTTCGAATTGGAAAAGTATACTTGCCTGGTCGTAGGCGAGTCTTCCTTGCTACCGCGTCTGGCCTCGGCGCTCCGAGCGAGCAACGGCCCGATGTCGGTCCTCGCCATCGCGGACTCGTTCCTCTGACGGTCTTGTGCAGTGCTCGAGGGCGGTGTCGAGACGGTTGTGGTCGAAGGATGAGCATCGGTTTCCGATTCTTCTTCCGTTTCGGATTCCGTCTCCTCCGAGGAGCTACTCGTCTCCTCGTCCTCGTCCTCCTCTTCCTCTTTCTTCTTTATGGCGGTTTCTTCTCGCGCCGCCGGGGGCTGCGTCGGCGGCGGCGGGGCCGCGCGGTTACCTGCGCAAATATCAGAAAATTCGTCGCGTTGTAGAGTAAATATCGCACAGATGCTTTCTCTCGCGGCGTTCCAGAAGCTCTTCAACCCTTTGATTACCTATGGGACGACTTTAAGGGTGATTTCAGCGACCAATAGCTTGGTTTGTCACTATTGTAATTTGGGTCATCTCAAGAAAATTGTCGTTGTCGAATTGAAAGCGAAATCGCTGTACCTTGGTAAAGAATAGGTAAAGTTTTAGAAAGGGATCGAAAAGTGTAGGTTACACTGTGCATTTTCACGAATTTTTTATCACCCAAATCTACCAGAAGAAAGTAAAGTGCTATTAACCCATGCAAAGGTGTTACTCCCGATTTATCGAAAACTCACCTGTGCCTAAAAAACGGCTCTGAAAGGACCTGTTCGCGGGGGTGGTGTTGTTGGTCTCTTTCGGCGTGGCGGGCGTAGTGGCTGGCGGTGTGGATGTGGTGTTAGACGCCGGTGCCCTCGACAAGTATTTCTGCTTCATTTCCTCGGCGGTGAATGGTGCACCCGTGCTGCGGATTCCCGATCCTCCTGAGCTCTCCGAGCCCGTGCTCGAGTCTGATGAAGCGCTTCTCGTCGCAGGAGTGTGGGTATCCGTCGAAGTTCTCCTGCGAGCAACGATATTTCAATTAACGACTTCCCTCGACTCTGGTGAACTCGATGGAGCATTCGTACGCCGCAATTTGCACTGGCTGATATTAGTTTACATAGCGGGCACCACTCTCTGTTTCGTCCCCGTCGCACCGTAACGAATTATCCGCGAGGTTTCATCTATTTACCGGTCTGTATACCGAGACCCTACCCCTAAACACCGCTTCCGTTTACACGCGCGACGGTAAACGCGGGCGTAAACGTACGTAGAAATTGCTCGAACCAGCGATCGTATTAACGCATCGAGTATATATACACCTCCGCGTTTTTCCAAAGTGCTGTTCGTTAATTCACCGACGGAAACTGCTGCTGCTGCTGGTTTCGTGAACACACGGGGGTGGGACGAGGGGGAAAAAAAAGCGAGGCGTAATTTTAAAGTGACAGACTGTGTCCACGGTGCATACAGGGTTGGACGGAGAATTAAAACGGCCCCTTTGCTCCTTGTTACGCGTATTAGAATTCTCCCTCTCGTTAAAATACTCGACAAAGCGTTGCGAAACCTATAAAAATTCTCTGGCGTGGAGGGGGGAAAAAGAAGAGGATGGAAATTTAACGTTCGAAAAGAATAAAGAGGAAAGAATGCTAACCACTTTTGGATTGAAGACAAAAAATTGACCTATTTAAAATTTCCCACGGAACAATTGCTACGGTAAAACGTTCAATCGCCACCGAAGGGTAAAAGAATATTAAACATTTGGATGGTTTTTGTATCGTTAGGAACTTTTTTTTTACGAATGAAAACGACGAAGGAGCCGAGTGTGTTTCCGTTTTGTGGCGTTATCGATGAGACAATTAAAATGTAATAGTACATCACGATACGGGATTGAACGCGCCTAACGGAACTCGAGGCATTGAATCGAAACGATCCGTTTCTACTGAACGGGTATAAATCAGCCTGTCTGACTAGGTACGCTCCGCTACTACTGGAACCGTGTACAGACCCAGATCCGTGTGACTTAATGTTAACGCTGTTGCGGCCGAATTCGATCGGATTATACATTTTCCTATTAGTTTCGGGCGTGTAATTTGTCACGGTGTGCTTACCAACTTAATAAAATGGATAAATCTAATCCCACCGTTGTGGAGATTATGTAAATTACTGATAAACACGGTGTATTAAAAAACGATAATAGTTAATACGGAAAATAGATCGTTGCAAATGAAACGACTCAGTGTTTAACGAAATCTGCAATTTTAGTAAAAAAAAAATAATATTTATTAGTTAAAAAATGATCTATCAGTTTTGGTACAAGTTTTCGAGGACATACCTCGCGGGCATCGGTCTTCTCGCAGGTTCCTCAGGTTCTCGTTCAGGCGGTGCTTCCCTGGAGGGTGTGTGCGGCGGTGCAGGTGTTTGCACCGGTTGTCGTTCCTCCACCGTTTCAGTAGCAGGTGTGGCCGCGGTTTTATTCTGCTTCTTAATCCTAGAAATCTCGTCGTCCTCGCTGGTCTGCCTCGCCATCGCTGTCGGCACTTTTCTCACTTGCACCTACGCGATAAACAGAAATATTTAACGTGACCGTGGGGATGTGTGCGGTGAACGACGCGATGAGAAAAAAAAATTCTCGATGAACCCCCCCCCTCCCCCCTTTTGTGGACGTTTCGTTTCTTTTTTCTCTGGTTCTTTCTTTTTCTTTGCCCCGTGTTTTTTTTTTCCCCGTTTTCGCAGAGTACGAAACGTGTCCAGGGATAAATTATTCGTCGGTGATTAGGCGCTTGTAAACAAGTCAGGAATTTTTTTACGCTGACCGTGTGCTTTGGCAACACGAGCGCGCGTGTGTTGCATTAATATGCTGGTTACGGTCTGACGTTACGCATAAAAATGCAATTGCAAATGAATAGGTGTTGTGTGCGGTTTATGTGGGAAGAGAGAGAGAGAGAGAGTGAAAGAGAGAGGATCTGTTGGCGAGTGAACGCGAGTAAAAGAGACTAGCGTGTATCTTTTCTTGATGAGCAGAACATATATTCATTTGTGTTATAATAGAATTCCATAGTAATTGTGTTGTTTTTTTCTTCTTTTTCGTTCCCGTACAAAAATATAACGGCTAATTATACAAACTATAAATTTATCCACTGCTGCCTCGCAATTATTTACATATTTATGAGATTTCGAGATCAAGTATGTGTATATATATATGTACATTTCATATTGCACCACGCAATTCTCCGTTTTTTTCTGTGTTTTTTTTGTCCACCATCGTGATATATTGAAATTCGCCGACGATTTATTCCCTTTACGTGTCCATAGAGGGAACGATACGTTTTTCTCTCGGTAACTGTGCGCCACACGTATATATATTTCACATGTGTGTGCACACATTGACCGATCAAAAATTTAAGTGCCCCCGTTGAATCGCATCCAAGCAATATAACGCGAGATTCCCGAAGCTACTTTCGTCGTGGCCCACGCCATCGAACTCGTCCCTGCTCACGATTCGTTCCTCCATTTCGCCTCCCGTATTAAGAGGAATCCGTCTGTGAAAATTCTGTGCCGCGGAGGGAGGGAGAATCACTGTCAAAAACAAATACGACCGTGTGAAATGGACGAACAACCAGTAAACATATCAATTCGATTCTCTCTACGTTTCAATTTTTGGTACAATTCGAATCACTTTTTCTTGTTTTCTTTACCGAGTGACCTCGCGACCGTGTGCTTTTCATACATATATCCTCGGTTTCTACAAACGATCTTGTTTCGCATCGAAATCGCCGGAGAGAGAGAGAGAAAAAAAAAGATTCTAATATACAACACGAGTTTAATTCGTGTTTTCTCTAGACGAGAGACTCGCGAACGAAAGCAAAGGGAACGAGACGAAGAGAAATCGATAACCAAGTGGCATCGGTTATAACAGAAACGCGCTTTCCTTTTCTTTCGATCAAATTCTACAAAGCGTACTTATAAACGTTGCGTAGAGGAACGTCTTTCTTTTTTCATTCGTTTCGAAAAATCGTGCAACGAGAAATGAGAGCACTTGGGTGCACTCCGTGTAACTCCGTGAAAATAATTGTCAGAAATTCAGCGAGAAGAGAGGGAGGGGAGAATATAAAATTCAATTAACCTGGGGCTTTGGTGGTTGAGGTTGTTGAGCGGGATGAGGCGCCGCTGGTTCCTCCTTCTTCCTTTTGCCGGCACGTTCGTAGTCCTGGAGCTTTTTCATGATACGCGGTGAATCCGTGAGACGAAAAATCCCGGAAAGTGGTCCACGTGCCGCGTCCTCCGTGTCCAGAACACGTTCACGGAGCCCCGAGGATTCCTGTGGCGTCGACGTGAATCTGACGGTCGACCTCGAGTCCCCGTCGGAATCGTCTCCGTCGCGATGTCGCATAAATCGACTCCTGTACCTCGATTTGTTCCTCGGGACCTCGTATTCTGGCGCGTCGTATCTGTCACAGTGGCAATTTTCCATTTGAAATTACCTCGTTTTTTTTTTATCGTTAGTAGATTATACGTTGGAATATCGTGGAAATTAAAATTGAAATTAAACGGAAGATTAAGGATTAAGAAACGTGTTGGAGTGGGAGGTATCGATGAAAAGTTAATTAGATGTAATCAGTCAGGTACAAGACATGGGTGGAGGGTGGAAGAGAAGATGGAGATCCTCCAATAGCATTGTACCCTGTCACTAGCAATCCCTCTGGAACGTCCGCTCCAATCGAACCAAGGTAATCTGACAATAAAGCGAGTGGCTGTGCATAGTGATCGCACACGCTATCATCTGTCCCGGTAATCTCGAGTGACGTGTGTCATCGATACGTCATTGAAGTAACGGCTGGCAATTTTGTAAGTGCATACTTTGGCGGGAGATGCAATCGAAATTTGCATCCAAAGTGTGATACGAAAGAGTAAGGGAAGATACGAAAGGAAGACGCTATCTTCTCCTTTGAAATTTAACACGACTCCTATATATTTCCTTCCTTTTTCCGCTCTTTTTGTTCCTCACTTTGCCTATTTACGACGTAAATTCTGTTTGTTCAATTTGACACGATATTCGGCCGGTTTCAACGATTAATTTCTCGGGAGCGGCAATGAAAACGGTACATTTCGTTGGGCGCGATTTTCTGAAACTGGGTTATCTGCCTTTCAAGGCAGTGCACAGCAATAGATCCATCGGGTTTATCCGAGTGTTGCTTAATTATCGCTTTGCAGACACGAGGATGGCTTGGTATAACGAGAGGAAAATCAGGAAGGAGAAGAGCGACCGTGCACGGTGGCGGTAATTGATCTCGTTCAAATCTGTATAGCTCGGCAAGCCACTAGTACATTAGAAATTCAAGCCACGGTACTCCCCTCGTTCGATCTTAAATTATTCAAAGACGATGTTTTGGATGGAAAATTCAACTACCGCCAAATTTCCAATATAATTTTCCCAAAATTTTCTACCCCGTATTTCGCGACTCTCGTTCTTGTCTCGTACGAACAACGCCGGAGAATCGATTATCCTAACGAGAGATAGTTCGCACGAGAAATCCGTTAAATTTAATTAAAGACCGTCTCGCGATTATTGTCATACAAATTTCTACATCGATCGAATCTCGCAGCCTCGAATTTTCAGCGCTCCTAAAACCAAGCTGTGTATACCTTGCTCCTCTCGAACATTTCACCAGAAATTCTCTCGTGCCGAAAGTTAGTTTCGCGAAAACAAATAAAGCACGAATAGTCTGACGGGAATAAATTCCGAAACGACTCCGGTGAAACGTTGTTGACAAATTCACCCATAATTGATCGCTGATTATCGGTGCAAAAAAAAAAAAGAAAAGAAAAGGAAAAAAATTCAGGCTACCGGGCAAAGTCTTTAATTGGTATTTCTCGCCTATGGTATCGAGGACGGCCGTAAGCTTCGTTAATTACCGTTTATTACCTGGTCGGATTATATCAAAAGCCTTTCATTTACATTTTGACGAGGTGGCTTGATAAAACTACCGGTGCAAAAGTGCCGGTGCGTGTGTGTGTGTGTGTGTGTGTATTTGCTAGGAGAAACGGCCGGTAATTAAACCGGTACCATGCCTATTTCGGCCTCGAGGAAGTTGTACGCGGCCCACGCCAGGAAAAAGATCCACAGCCAGAGGAGCCACGTGTATTTATAACGTTTGCTAGAATAGATATGTGGGACATCGTGAAAAATGTATGCCCACCACGCTCGCCGTTTTGGCAATACTCCAAAGTAATCTGCGTCCACGGTCAAACACGTTTTTACCGGTCAGCCAGTTACCAACTAGAGATGCCCCTCTTTTCCTTTCTTCTGTTCATTTTCTCGCAACGGAGGGAAGAGAATCTTCCCTTTATGCGGCATCATTTTCTCTCCCCCCCCTCCTTACTGTCTGTGTCACGCGAAGAAGAAACTTCTCGAGACTCGGGGATTCCATTCGAAAGCCACTTCGCCACGTTTAATAGTAAAATTCCTCTTTCTAACCTCGTGACGAGGTAAACCGTGTTTCCCTGCTCCATAAACAGTAGGCTCTCTGTACGCTTACAGCGCGCATGAAACAGCCATAACCAACGTGATACATTTACCCTTAATCTGCCCGGTGGAATATTCGCATAATTCTTTCCTTACCCTCTGTATCCTTTGCCCCTGTTACGGGTTAGGGGGGGAGAGACGGTTTAACGAGAAGGTTTTTCCACCGAAAAAGCATTCTTCTCGGCTGCTTTTCTGTATGACTACTCTTCTATTTAGAAAGACTCCGAGCGCCCATTATGCAAAGAAGG